GGATTAATCCTTCCGAAACTAAGCTTACACAAATCCATAAGTTCCTTTGTGCCGAGGCAGTGTCACATTACATACAGTTATAGCAGACACACGCCGCCTCCGAAAATAATGCACTTGGTTGGATGTCGACCAACGGCGGTGCAACGAAAAAAAAGACATTTCTATTTCAGCTGGATCCAAGATGGCTCCCACCGAAAATGGCCTTTTTGTGTCGCTGGTATTTTAGGAGCGACATTCTTGAGGATGGCTCTCCTGAAAGTGGCTGGGCTTGTCTACCAACACAGACTTATAAAAGGCAATTTTTAAAAAATGCCGTTTTTGCGTAATATTTTCCAAAAAAATCTTCATCGAGTAGCTGCCTACGAGGTTTATTCCTTCTTATGATTGAGTTAGAAAAAAGTAAAACAGTAAGCGATCGGTCAAAAAAGGGAGATTATAAAATGAAGGGGGTTGGCAAAAAGTTTGAGATCCTATGGATGAAAAACACTATTGTTCTTGTATTGTCAAAATAAAATACTGAAGTGCATTATGTAGGTAGGCAATCTGTGGTGCATTATTAATAATCAATAATCTTTGAATTTGGTATCATTTTAGTTTAAGCCCCCTGCTACCTTATGTAACCAACCATCTATATATATAAAAATGAAACCCGTTTCGCGTTGTCACGGCATCACGTGTGAACGGCTGAACCGATTTCGATAATTCTTTTTTTTAAATGTTTGTGGAAGTCCAAGGATGGTTCTTACGGAAAAAAATATTAAGAAAATCTCTACGCTAAGGCGGTACGAAGTTCGCCGGGTCAGCTAGTAATGTGAATAAAAAAATACCGCGACAATAAAAACATTTGTTTATGCATCGTAAAAATGATTGCTCATAAACTTATTAATGTCAAAGCAGTTACTGTCCCAAGCCCCTCACTTAAAAATCGTTTAAAAGGAAAGTTCTGTCGTAGGATTTCAACTTTATATCCACGGCTTAAGATTTGTAAAAAAAAAAACTATTATACCCAGACCACAGATTACACGGTTGGCGCGTTTTTTACGACAATTTTAAGCGGTGTTGCCATATCGGTCATGCTCTCATATTTATGGGAGTTTCGCGCTTTTACAGACGCGACGATTGCTATACCGATACAGACGAACTATTTATTACTTTCTCTTTTAGCGACTTCATGTTGATTGAGTTCTTTTATTGCGGATGCATTAACCTCTGAACAAAATAACAACGTCCGCCGTAAATTATTTTATTCTTTTGTGTTGTTGCATTCTATTTTTACTACGCGAAGTAAAGCAAACGTATTTTCAAAAAGCAGTGAATTGATTTGATTTGGAACCTACTTTTCATATTAATTTATATTTTATGCTCCACTAACTAATATTGATCGTAAGAGTTCTAAACTTGACAATATGACGTATCCATGTCCAATACAAAAGCTATCTAGAAATTCTAGAATTCCAGGCTTGCAAATCGATGGCACCCTTTTCATGGAACCGGTTTAAAATTACTGGTAACTTGACGGGTTTCCCGATTACCGGACAGTGGCGCCGCAGCGGCGGGTGGACAGTTTTAAAAAGGGGAATTGTGTAGGTATGCTTTTGCGTGTCAACATTTAAAAACAAACGTGGTCAGTTCGAATAAATTGATGGTTTTAAGTTAATCATGTAATTTACTAATGTAAATCACGTTACTTTTTTTTTATGTTACAGCAAATACAATATAATATTTTAAATAATTTGGGCAGACAATGCAATTTTGTAATCGTTACATATCGTGTACGATTTTATGAACCATTTTATTACAAACAATAGTTCTCTTGTGTAGTCAGTTTTTTGTTGTATTTTTTGGCAAAATCCTTAGCAAAATCAGACCTATTGTGATTGTGACTGAAATAAATGTCACACTGACCACTGTTATGCTTGCCATGCGTAAAACTATCAAACGACCAGTGACATTGGCAAAGACAATGTTAAGCATAAAAGAATAAAACAACTTACTGAAGTTACGGTTACGATATCCCCCCACCAAAACATTAAGGTCTGGCTGACTGACATTAAGTAAGTTGACTAAAGCCAATCACGTCCAATCTGGAGCTATTGTATATCAATTGATCCAATACGGATGACAGGACCTTCCTTTGATTTATTATAACAAGTATTTGAAGGAACCATGATGATGGCTTAGTTAAAACATTAAAGAGGGACAATGAAAGATTCTAACTCGTTAAGTCGACACACACATAGTTACACACATAGTTTAGGCAGGATTTTGGTATACAATATAATCTTACATAAGTAATTTCCCAAAAAAAATACTAGTACTAGAAGTTCTACTACTTGAAAAAATATGGATTCCCCGAACGTCCTACTTCCTTCTTGAAGGGTTTTTAAACCAAAAGTTTCCCATTTCCTTTTTCGAAGTCCAAACTATTTTTATACTAAAGTTCATCAAAATTAGTTTAATGGTTTAGTAAAGATTAAACAAACTAAAACTACAGACAAACCGTTGTCAGTCACAGATTTCTAATGCTCTTTTAAATGGATTCTTTTAACGGCGATAACTTTAAAAGCTTTTTGGCGACAACTTTATTTTATCTGCATAAACAACCAAAGCAATTTTCTGGACAGTCCATTAAAAGGCGGGTAATCGATAGATAGTGGTCAAAGAACGGAAATCGGTCGACCCTTCGCGTGAGGACGAACGACTGACGTGTGTGACTACCCTACATTAGAGGGGAATGTAGTTGATAACGATGATAAGTTGTTTTAGATTTGTTGAAAGGTCTTTGGCATTCCAATGTGCAGGAGGACTATGACAAACATGAAACGATATTCACATAGGTATTTTTTATGATTTCTTATCAGCACAAATTCAGTCCCTGCCCTAGTAGTTAAAGAGGTGCCCTGTAATCATGGAAAACTTTCTGGGATCAATTCTCTGGCGGGACGATAAAATTTTTTTTTTAAATATTTTCAGAGGTTCTATATTGGCTCACATAAAATTCTAAATCCTATTCTTTGTCTTACTACCGATTTGTGTTCATAATAATCTCTCTTCATAATTTTATTTTTCATACTTTTTTTATTCATTCATTTTTATTACTACCATCGGAGCTCATAACAGTTAGTAATCATAATTTTTTTATCAATACTGTTACTACCAAGAACCATTTAAAATACATAATTTTTATTTTCAGATCTTTTTTCTTCATAACATTCATTGATCATATTGTTTTAATTAATAATGTTGTTACTAAGAACATACTTCAACTCATAATGTTGTTGTTCAGAATAATTTACTTTATAACAGACATACTCGTATCTTTAAAAAAATCATATACATATAATTTAATAGAGTAGATAAGCATGCAGAGCATGCAGCATGCATTGGTATCTCCTCGTCTCCGGCGCTGCGGGATGTGCAGCCCTTCCGCCCTTGCGTAACGAGGCTCAGGCACCCACGCTTGCTTCCGCAGCTTCGGCTTTTTGGATCGCCATCGGCGCCTTCGGCGCCTCGGCGACCAGCCTCAGCCGCTCCAGCTCACCCGGGCGCCTGAGCCTCGTTACAGCGGGCGAGGGCTGCCCTCCCTCCGCGCCTCCGGCTTTTAAATTACACTCTAGGGGTAGGGCAGACAAGACTACGTGGAGTCGGTTTTGCAGCGATTCGTTTCTGTCACGTTAGTTTTGTGGCACAAAATATTGCCTGTTTTGGACCATTTCAAATTAATTTAATGTTAAAATACGATTTAATACGAATATAGACATCATGATTTTCAATAATATGGATAAATACACTTATGAGTAATAAATTTATGAAAACAAATATTAGGATACATCACATTTATGAATATTATAGTTATTTATTCGAATGATTATGAGTTTCGATCATTAGTATAGAAAAATATATGAAAACAAATATTAGTAAAAACTAAGTGTATGATTAGTGATATTATGAATATCAATGATTATGTTTTTAAATATGTAGGTTTTAAATTTTTTATGAAGAATGATCATTATGGTATCAAATTGTATGAGAAATATTTTCGGACCTCCAATGATAGGAATTGAAAAGTTATGTAAGAAAATGCGCTACCATTCTCAGAAAAAGGTAGAACCCTGATTGTACGAAAAGACATAGATCAAAATAGGTTCTATTGCTTCAGAATGCCTGTTAAGGTCAGAGATAAAACTTGTTAAGATTTTTAAAGTGTCACCAGGTCCCAGGTCAAAGTTGTTGGTGACCTCATTTCTTACCCTCACGAAGACAATACCTTAGTTTAATATGGTACATTTATGTTTGGAAGTAGGGCAATACAATAACATTAGTGTCTCATATTGATTTTGTAATTAGATACAATGACTACTATAAAAAGAGAACGATTGTTATCAATAGGTACATAATTATGGAGTGGTGCATTTACCTATTGAATACGCGCCATAATTGGAGATAGCACCAATGCAATGACTAATAATAAATATTTTGTCCTATAAAAATAATGTTTTCATATTGATATTCCTTATTGAGACTACAGGAACACAGTGACAATCTGTCTCTGGGACCTCAAAGGGGAAAATAAATGTAGCCTACTTATAACTCTTCTAGTTCTACATTATTATGAACAAAGAATCCTGAAAACTATTCGTAAATTAAAGAAATGACATCTTATATCCTCCTAACTAAAGCACCTACTAGGTTGTCACCAGATTACTTGCCATAGCTCTTGTAGTTGTCCAACATTGTAGCGCCCCAACTATGAAATTGTCAGGAGGCGGCTACTATCAAAGTATCAATACTCCAAATGATTGTCCAAGTACGTGGCAAAAGGTTGTCCAAAAGTTGGACTTAAAAATATGACATTTATACTTACAGGAGGATAGACGTTTAAAATTGTTTGACTATACCTTTCGAGGGAGCAGTTCCATGGAGTTTAGGGCGTCAATCCAGAACCACAGCTCCACCTAAGCGTAATTCCACACACTAACGATACCTTTCTTCTTCCTCAGTTCTGGGAGATCATATCGGAGGAGCACGGCATCGACCCGGCCGGCGTGTATCGAGGCACCAGCGACCTACAGCTCGAGCGAATCTCCGTCTACTACAATGAGGCCTCTGGTAAGTCGTCATCATCTAAGACAAGGTAGTCGTCAACTGCTAGACGTAAGATCAGGGTCTCAGCTAACGGCAGTTCACTTGAGCGTAACGTCCGTATTCACAAACGATGCTTGCTTAAGTGAAGCAGCAAATCGAAGGCACATCGTTGAATAAAACTCTGTGATTGGTTCGTATGTGACCCTGTGAGTCCACGCGCACTGAGAGACCTTAGTAACGTTTGTAAATACGGGCGTTAGTCTCTCATAAGTCATATAAGACTCTTACGTAAGAGATATTTCTCTTTTATCGCTTTTATCATCCGGGCATCCATCCTCTGCTCTCAATTATGCTATCCCATGGATTAGAGGGTAAAGTTAACGCTCTTCCATTTGCCCTATGGATTTTGGATTCCAACTAGCCACTACTAGCTTTATTGTGTGGACAGCAATATTATTCTTAACTGAGCTACTTTTTCCTAAACCTGATCTTACTTCGTTGTGCCTGTAGTTTACGGTCTTTCTCGTAAATGGCACGAAACAAACATTAAACACTTTGACTTATGAAATCGTTAAAAAACTAACAGCTTAATTGACATTTAATTTTACTCGAATTGACACCGAGACAACTGAAAGAAATTTTCTCGTTCAATACACTTTCAATAATAGGTACTAGTATTATTAATTTACATTCGTTCCAATAAATCTTAATTATTCTGTACCTTGTTGCACTCACTCGAGCTTGTAGTTGTACCCACATTTCTGCGGTTGATTAATACAGTGCCGTTCTGAATTAATTCTAATGATATTCATAACAGAGCACTACTTTTCCCAGATCGTCGTATCGTTTGCAACTTATAAAATAACATAGGCGGCGACACACATGCCAGTTGCCTACCTCTAGCACGAAAAACTTACTTGGGAATTGAGGCATATTATGATGCAAATTGCATGCAGGTGTATTCTCATTGCGACAGTTACTTGCACATGCTGTTGTTAATGCAGATCAAGACAAGTTTAGCTTTGCTCGCATAGCTGACGCAGTTTTCCATGGTTGTGAGCAGACTGCAAACTAAGGCTGAGTTGCACCACCTAATTTTGATCGTAACTTTGACGATAACCGGTGTTTTTTGTATGGAGTTTTAACGTTTGTCAAAGATAAAGTAAGATGGTGCAACCCAGCATAAGCAAACACGAGTTTGATGGACTCTTGACGTTTGTTAAAGTTAAAAAAGCATGATGACATTTTAATAACCTACATTTCGAACCCACCACCTGGTGCATTCGAAATCGTAAGATGGTGCATTTCAGCCTAAACCTGCACGCCACTTTTCCGTTTTACCAATTACTAATCTGAGGTTTTATTTGCATGTGTATCGCCTTAAAGCTGTCGTTGTAATCCTTCACTAATCTGTGCTCTACCGCGGACGGCAATTGGCTAAGCACTTACCAGAGCGATGACCCCGCTTCGGAATTAATTAGTCTTAATCCGCTGTAACATGCCATTGTCCTCTATTGTAACATGCTTTGGTGTTATAGAAGGGTTATGTTGTAAGACACGAGAAGTCTTATAAAAGCTAGATAAGACACTTCATATCGCGGCTTCTGCAGCAAAAAAGTTCGATGTTGCTTATTTTATGTAAATATTATAAAAAAAATGCATTGTCTGTTTGGTGCAACACAGTTAATTTTGATGCAAATCAAGTCATTTTATTTTGAACTTGACTGAGTTTCTTGCGCTGTTTCTTCTCAGCACTGGACTGGCCCATTTACTGTCGCGAAGCAGTGGTAAGGTTTTTGAAAGTTATACTGGGAGGTGTAAAAACGCTTTTTAAGTTTATTTCCAAAAAATAAATGAGTTTAGTGAAGTTTTTGAACGTTCAGTTGAATATTCTTCATTTCACTCACTCAATGCTACTAGAATATCGCCAGTTTCTACCCAGACATATCCCCAGTGTCTGAATTGAGATTTTTAGCTTGTGCTCATTTTCTACTTAAGTAAGTATGAACTTTTCAAGTACCCATTACACTTACACTCCTGTCTTAAAGACAGTTTTAACTTTCCTATGAGACTGCTCAACCGTCTCTGATTGGGTTTATTAGCGAACAAGCTAGCTCTATATTCTATAGAGTTACTACAGCCACTGTGGAAACGAATGGTGACTAAGCTATCCTGGAATGGTATCCAGACAAACAATGGCTTCAGTGTTTGATTTAACCTCGGAGTTGGTTACATATTATTATAAAATGTATCTTTATTTGAGAAGCAGAATAAGCTTAATTTAGTTTTCTTTTACACTGTGAGATAAAGGTACCTTTAAAGGACTAACAAGCCCCTAAACGCCTCTGACACATGTATTGGCTCAATCGATCCGATAGCTTGTCAAATAATTTAAAATTATTTGTTTGTGTAACCGTAGGCTCTTTGCTAAGCACCAAAACCTAACTCAATGAAGTAGCTTGCCTAACCATCTGCTCTTCGGGACAACATATTGGGAAGTGATGAGAAGTTATCAAATTCAGGAAACTATCACGTTACAAAGTTACAGTTTACTCAGTTTAGTGACAACCTTGAACTTTAAAACATTGTCAAAAGTCAGAGATTTGGATATCATCTAAACCTAACTCAATTAGCTATAGCTAGCTTGTGGGGGAAGTGATGAGAAGAAGCAAGAAGTTACCAAATTCACAAAACTTTCAAATTACAAAGTTACAGTTTGTAAGAAGAACATTGAACTTTAAAACATTGTAACAGGATAAAGAACTCCTGTTACTAAGTACTCGTATGTTCTGTCTTCTTCCAAGCCCAAGACAATAGTTTCATTATAACAATATCCAAGACAAAGAGTTCATAAAAAATCCTGTTACTGAGTCGTCCTTCTCAGCCCAAGACAACAGTTTCATTATTACAATATCCATAAAACCAATATCTAGTAAAATGATCAAGCCACAACGATTGCGATCGGGCGATCGGCTTACTGACCGCAGCGCGGCGCACCGTTCGCTAACAGTACTTTCATTATTATTCATACACTCGCATAGCGTATTGCAGCGTTATAATTGAACTCATTTCACTTAATTTCAAGTCCTTTTTATTTAGACAGTATCAGCAAGTCATAAAAGTAATTTATTTCTGCAAATCTGCATGTTATTAATCTGCTTTTATACGCCCCGAAGGCGTAGTTTACAAAATGCTAGAGAAGCAATGATCAATCACATAGTCCACGTTCATAATTCAGTGCGAACATAAAAAATGGTTCCTAAGAAGGCCTAGGATAATATGGCAGCCTATGAAATCTGTTTTCAAGTTATGCCTCTGATCCAGCTATACCACCATTAGTGGTTGGTGTGATTATTTTAAAAATATCGATGTATTAACTTAAATTCCTCTAGTAAGACACCACAAATAGTTCCCAAGAAACCAATTAAAAATAAAACACGGTAAAACACCGTGTTACAGATACCATTCGCGAGAAGTTCTCATTGGTTCTTTGATGAAATGATGCAGTTTATTTAGTTCTTTGACCTTTCACGGGCTAAGTGAAGCGGCAAATCATTAAGGCTTTTGACGTAAGGGATATTAATTAGATTGATGTTAATTAAATTCTTTTAAAACCACAATAAATCTCTAGGATGTATTCAGTTAGCAACGTCTTTTTGACTTTTTTATCCTTTACGAAGTCACGAAAACTTTGCCACAGATCTGAACGAATAATATCTGATTTAGCCTCGTCTGCATTCATAAAGCATAACATAAACAAACTTACTTACTTAACTAAAAGCATAACTAACTAAGGTAGGAACCGTTGACGCGCCGTAAGAGTGCAAATGATAATGTTGTATTCAAAAACTTAACTTACCCCACTGTTATCTGCAACCGCCGGCTAACCAGCTGGCTGGTTTATTGTAGTTTTTACAGACCTAGAAAGAAAGAAACACAAGGTTAGATGTTTTATTGGAGAATAAAAAGCTGATTTGCTGAATGTGTCCTAGAACTACCTAGCTAGTTCCTTTACAAGTTTTTTGAAGTCTGTAAACAGAAGGAAGTTGAATTACTTTGTCTGGGGCACCTTATTAATTAACCTATTATTAAGCGAGATAGTTGACGCATATTTGAATTCGAGGGAAAAAACCTACACTACTTAGGTATATTCTACAGCTGTCTGAGAACACACGACACTTTCCAATTAATATTTAATGCCCTGCAGCTTTTCTAACCTTTTTCACTCAAGGCTGGCCGATAAAGGTCATACGAAACTGTCACTCTAGAAGTAGACAGTAATTGGAGGGACCTTGATAAAATATGTTGTTAATGCCTTGAAAATAGTAAAAATACTTAAACTGTTAAATGCTAAACTTTCGAAAACATATTAATTTACCTTACCAACCTATCGAAAGGTTTTACCTTTCAACTGCTTTAAAATCTACAACTACGTGTCCCAAATAAGGCCGTCATAATGAATCTTGTGGTTTCGTGTCTTTATAAGTGATTCTCAGCAATGTTCTTCATGATCTATCATCATCATCATCATCTCAGCCATAGGACGTCCACTGCTGAACTTAGGCCTCCCTCAATGACTTCCACATCGCCCGGTTGGTAGCGGCCTGCGTCCAGCGCCTTCCTGCTACCTTTATGATGTCATGATCTATGGTCCACTTTAAAAGTAATTTCCCTGAAGGAGCATGCAGTCTATAACTTATTAAAACGTACCTTTCCTTGTTTCCAGTTGCGACGGCGGAGAACGGCGGCAAGTACGTGCCCCGCGCCATCCTCCTCGACCTGGAGCCCGGTACCATGGACGCCGTGCGCTCCGGCGCCTACGGCCAGCTGTTCCGCCCAGACAACTTCGTCTTCGGCCAGTCCGGCGCCGGCAACAACTGGGCCAAGGGACACTACACCGAGGGCGCCGAGCTCGTCGACGCGGTCCTAGACGTCGTCCGCAAGGAGTGCGAAAACTGCGACTGTCTCCAGGGCTTCCAACTCACGCACTCCCTCGGCGGCGGCACCGGCTCCGGCATGGGCACCCTCCTCATCTCCAAAATCAGAGAAGAATACCCCGACAGAATCATGAACACCTACTCAGTCGTCCCCTCGCCCAAAGTGTCAGACACCGTCGTCGAACCCTACAACGCCGTCCTCTCCATCCATCAGCTAGTCGAAAACACAGACGAAACCTACTGCATAGACAACGAAGCCCTATACGACATCTGCTACAGAACCCTCAAAGTGCCCAACCCCACTTACGGAGACCTCAACCACCTAGTCTCACTCACGATGTCCGGCGTGACCACGTGTCTGCGGTTCCCCGGTCAGCTGAATGCGGATCTCCGCAAGCTGGCCGTGAACATGGTCCCCTTCCCGCGTCTGCACTTCTTCATGCCCGGCTTCGCTCCCCTGACCTCCCGCGGCAGCCAGCAGTACCGCGCGCTCACCGTGCCCGAGCTCACCCAGCAGATGTTCGACGCCAAGAACATGATGGCGGCCTGCGACCCGCGCCACGGCCGCTACCTCACCGTCGCCGCCATCTTCCGTGGACGCATGTCCATGAAGGAGGTCGACGAGCAGATGCTGTCGATTCAGAACAAGAACAGCAGCTTCTTCGTGGAATGGATTCCGAACAACGTGAAGACGGCGGTGTGCGATATTCCTCCGAAGGGGTTGAAGATGTCGTCTACGTTTATCGGTAACACGACGGCCATTCAGGAGTTGTTCAAGAGGATATCGGAGCAGTTCACGGCTATGTTCAGGCGTAAGGCGTTCTTGCATTGGTATACTGGGGAGGGTATGGACGAGATGGAGTTTAACGAGGCGGAGAGCAACGTGAACGACCTGGTGTCGGAGTACCAGCAGTACCAGGAGGCGACGGCGGAGGACGACACGGAGTTCGACCAGGAAGACATGGAGGAGCTGGCGCAGGACGAGCAGCACGACTAGAGAAGGCCGCGTGTTGGGACGCGTTTCACCGTTTGTGATGTCAAAAATGCTGGTCATATAAGTGCGGTCAGGCTTCCCGCATCATCTCACTTCTACACTTTCGAAAATTAGAGGCTAAGATATCTTCTGTAAAACCAAAGCATCGTGACTCTTCGTGGGACCTCTCGCACTGTTATCCGTCAACGCCGTTGACGCGCCGTAAGAGTGCAAATGATAATAATAAATAATATTTTATAATATTATATTGAATAGTATTATATCGAAGTCTGTTTTTAAAAGTGAATTTTATAGATATCTAAGAGTCAGAAATTCATAAGGAACGTACCAATCTGTGCATTTCTTAGCTTAAGTTATTGTAATGTCTTGTATGCTTTTATATATTAATTTATAATTAAATGTTTTAAACAAAACCTTCGACATTTTATTTTGAAATCTCACCGAAATTAAACGACAGCTGAAGATTTTTTTAACGATTAGGGTCCATTGTGGTCCCGAGGAATTTGCAGTACTTCTAGATGATAAAGTGAAGGAAAATAAACGCAAGCTAATAGACAAATATTTATTTTACTCTCTCGACGCGTCCGCATTACAATAATATTGTACACTTATGACCGACTTATTTATACCATATTTACACTATTGTGAACACAATCTCTAGTCTACCGTTAATTTAACCGCTGTTGGAGAAAACCTCGACTTTACAACCCATGAAAAAAAACATATTGTTCGCTAGATGTCGCTTTTAGAGACAGTTTATTTATATAGATCTTTCATCCACGAAGACGCGCCCCACCAATTTTTGGTCTCGGTCGCGCGGGGTGCGGGGAGTTTGATCCGAGCAATCCGAGCGGCATTATTGTAGTGTATGTGTGCCACTCACATGGGTAATTTTAATTTAGCGTGTACCGATAATACTCCAACATTAGCGGAAGAATGGTGGAGCGCGTCTTCGTGGATGAAACGATCTATGCACAATGAGATTTCTCGAGTCAAATATTTTCAAAAAAAAAACCAGCGAGTGAGGCAAGATTTTCCCGCGGATTCTGGCATAAAAATGGCCAAAATGTTTGATTAGCAAGTAAAATACTGTTGCTAACATTAACCAAAGGTTGTAAAGCCAGGTTACCGTTATGTAGTTAGTTTTTATGTTGAAATATTGTCTTTTAATAACTCAATACAACATTAAATGCACGACAGCGGACTTATTACGAATAATATAACTTTAATATAATTATAACTAAAGGGGTGGCCACATAGCCGAGCTGTAACGATATGAAAGTAGTTTTTAGAACTCTTAGTATTATTTTTAAGATTATTTTAAGCCAAAAATGTAATAATAGATATAACAAAGCAAAAAATCTGCAATATCTAGAAACACAAACATTCAGTTAACCTAAGTTTTCTAAGATTAAATGTCAAGTTATCACTTTAAAATAAATCAACGCATTTTCATCAAAATCCGTCCCGTTGTTTTGTCTAAAGAAGTAACAAACAAACACCGAAAAATTACAATAAAAATAAGTACTACCGTCACATGTTCACAGATCAGAAACTGTGGCCACCCCACAACGAGTTACATCTAAAGTGAGGATCCAACAAGTGATTATTGCGTATATGTAGAGATTCTTACAAACCTTAGTAAAGCCTGGTCCGTGAGCACGTAGAATTTTGTCCAATGACCCCAAGCTACCCATCCTTATCGCTCGCGCGTAATTATATTGCTGTCGCGACTGTGCGACGCGCGCCCGCAGTGAGTGTGCGAGCGCGACAGCAACATAATTACGCGCGAGCGATAAGGATGGGTAGCTTGGGGTCATTGGACAAAATTCTACGTGCTCACGGACCAGGCTTTAGAAAATTTTACTATAACACTACTTCTCCTTTGCAGGAAAAATATTCATAAAGGCACATCGACAAGACCCTACGTTTGACGAAGCGACAAGCAAATAAATAGTCTAGCTAGGCGGTTACATCGCTTCAATGGTTAATATTATTTTGTAAATGCTATTATGTATACAAACACTTTTTTCCTCTGGACGTAGTATATAATATTTTTATCATAATACTAGCTGACCCGGCGAACTTTGTTCCGCCTTAATGGCAATAAATAAGCAGACTTTTTTTTATTTCGACAGGGATAAAAAGTATCCTATGTCCTTCTCCTGGCTCTAAACTACCTCCCTGACAATTTTCAGCTAAATCGGTTCAGCCGTTCTTGAGTTATAAGTGGAGTAACTAACACGACTTTCTTTTATATATATAGATTACAAGGTTTCCTTCAGTTTTTAAATCTGAATCTGTTCCGTCATCGTAACTTTTCGTTTAATTTTCATAATAATCGCGGGTATCGATGTCTCTGCATAAGTATCAATGTAGTGACAAAACGCAGTCAAACTAGGCTGCTTATGCGCTCCGTCCTTCGAGTTGGATTTTTATTGACAACTTGAGGGCAGTCACGCTTTGGAGGCCGCACCGGTCACATCGCCATCTTCTATTCGTAATCTAACGGGCCCGTCGACGCGTGTGCTAGTCACCCTCCCATGTGATCTCAACTTACCTCATCGTCTACACGCCCAAATGTGCTAGAAACCGAAGGAATTCCCAACTGCTGCTGCCCATACTCGAGGTGGAACTGTCAACGATCTGCTCAAGGTACGTGAGTGCATAGTATTTTGTCATTGCGTACTGCTCGTACAGAACATCGATCCCTTTTTACCGGCAAGCCTTCTACGGTTTGATCCAGGTGTAGCAGGAAGCCACCAATCGCCTGTTAATCGTGGTGCGTTTGCTACAGAATCAATAGTATTTTTTTTATCATAATATTACAATTCTTCTATTAATACTTCAGTTTTTAAATCTGAATCAATAGTATTGATACCTATTTCTAATCCATTTTCACATTATAATTAGTCATAAGTACCAAATACAAATATTCATATCATAATTAAACTTCCTCTTAAATTGATGTAAAGAAAAAATCATACAAACAATTGAATTAACGTACAGCTTTAAATATAGCAACAATAGAAATAGCCCTTTTTTCATAACACATTAGAATATTACTTAAAGCCCATGGATTTTTTAAAGACGAAAAATAACGTTTTAAAAAAATCACTGGACCCTATAGCTCAACTCAATTATGCTATCGACAAATCAAAGCGTTAAAAAATAACAAGCTGCCCATCTAAGTAAACAGTTATAATACACGATACAAAATATGGCAACGCAACGTAGAAATAATGCAACATTCGTTTTGTTAAGTTTTACTTACAACTACAGTAAAATTGTGGATTTTAATACTTTATAGCAAGAAATGGATGCCTCTGGCAAACTAGAGGGGGTCGTGCTCCTTTGGTGGAGAATAAAAGGCATGTAGGTCTAAGATATGCGCCACGATAAGCTTTTATCGCACCATTTATCGATTTTACGCGATAAACTCATACGTTTGTCATCTAAAATCACCGATAAGATTTTGTTACGGCGTGCATCCTAGTCCGACTGATGATGAAAATGCTTTCACATCTCTTAAATAAATCGATTAATTGATACAACTACCAAATTGACTTATTAAAAGTGACGTTATTAATATGTACGCTACAAGAGCTTGTCAAAATCCACAATTTTATTATCAACTATATTATACAGTAAACTTACACTTATTTATACAATCTTAAATGTAAATTACAATACTATTTCGGCACATTAATATTTAAGTAACTAATCCATATACATAATAGTTGGTGAGAGCGACAGATTCATTTCTCTCGCGTTTATAAGATTTTGACATCATTTTATCTCGAATTTATTTTAAATTAATTTAAAATCTAATCTATAGTAGCAACAAAGATTCATGAATTTTAACAAAATTCTCAAAATTGAACAACAAACATTTGCAAAATGAAATAAATGATCATACGAAATGCTTTCATAATTCTTTTAACAAATTACTGTAATTAATTTAAACTCTAACTAAAACCTTAGAATAACGCTATAAATAGCAAGCAACTAACATATCAAAAATGTAAAGCTTCTATGTCATAAAACATCATATTTAACATTTGTGTAATAATAACATTGCCCGAAAAATAATATACACTGTATGAATTTATTCCACAAATTTTAATCACGCATACAAAAGGGAACGATATTTTATTTCAACTTATTTATTTTACGTCTATTTGCGAGTGTATCATGATGCTTTGGAATTAATTTACGATGAACGTATTATTTTTAAGTTAGCAAGTCTAGTGGTAAGCCACCTGCTTCACACGCAGAGGTCCCGGGTTCGATTCCCAGTGGGGGCAGATTTTTCTGTTCGGTTTGGTTGGTGGTAGGGCTTGTTCTAAGTCCGCCTGGCTAGCTTCCACCATCTTACCTAAGTCTGTCGCCATAACAACAATGTTAACAGCATTCCTTTCCATAACATAACAGTTCCTCCGCGGTTGAGGATTCCGGGTGAAGCTCGCTTCCACCTTCGGCCTGATCGTCACTTACCATCAGGTGAGATACAGGCCAAGAGCTTCCTCGTTGTGGATAAAAAAAATGGAAAATTAAACTACTGTAAGAACATAATGATAATTCTGAAACGCGATGCTGCGATGCAGGATTGTACGCGCGGTGGAATATGCCGTAGTAACTCATGTGTCAGCGCCATCTGTTGGTTGATGATTACCACTAAATCTCTAGGGGCGAGTCGATAGATGTCGCTACACCATTACACACAAAATCTGTCTCAAAACAAGGTTGTGTCACAGAAACTTCTCTAGAATAAGGTCGCGACTCTCTTGGCAACGACTCTAGCAAAGTACGTTTAATTCAAAAAACAGTCTCTAACACCTACTAGTTACGGTAGAGAGTCACATGGCGACCTCTTCGACGACAGAGCCGCGGGAGAAAAATCCAAAATGTGCTACAATCAATTATAGTCTCTCTTGCTCACGATTTAAAGTCCATTACACCGCGTGCTCGCCGGCGGCGGGCAGGCGCACGGCGGAGTCGGAGTATCAATATACGTGACATTCAAAAACAGTCTCTAACACTCACTGGTTACGGTTGAGAGTTAAATGGCAACCTCTTCGCTGACAGAAAATTCCAAAATGTGCTACAATCAAAAACAGTCTCTCCTGCTCACTACACAACGTCCATTATACCGCGTCCTCGCCGGCAGCGGCAAGTATCAAATTAAGATTCATTCAAAAAACAGTCTCTAACATCCACTAGTTACGGTTGAGAGTCACATGGCAACCTCTTCGCTGATAGAAAATTAAAAAATTTGCTACAATCAAAAACAGTCTCTCCCGCTCACTACATAGCGTCGACAATCACACGGCGTCCTCGCCGGCGGCGAGTATCAAAATACGTTTGATTCAAAAACAGTCTGTAAACAGTAACACTCATAGGTCAACGTTGAGAGTGACGCGACAACCTCGCAGATTGTCTATTTTACATATCGGAGTACATTCAAAAACAGTCTCTCCCGCTGACTACACAAGGTCCACTATACTGCGTTCCAATCAAAAACGGTCCCCACCACTCACATAACAAGGTTGAGAGTCACATCCCGACTTCGTTGGACTACGCTACAATCAATTATAGTCTCTCTTGCTCACAAGTTAAAGTCCATTATACCGCGTCCTCGCCGGCGGCGGGCAGGCGCACGGCGGGGTCGGCGGCGGCGAGCTTGAGCAGCGTCTTCTTGACGCGCAGCGCCGGCAGCCGCACTGAGGCGCTAGCGTGCCAACATTCGCGCATTAGGTTCGCCATGCCCACCATTGTCTGCGGAAAGAAAGATAAAACGTGCCTTAGAAAATTACCATCTTCAGGGTATTTAGTCTCCAGCCAGTGGCGACAGCTAGTGAAAACTAATGCAGTACGAGGGCGCCGACTGGTAAAAACTTATGTTAATATAAAGACGCCAACTGGTGAAAACTTATGTTAATATGAAGACGCCAACTGGTGAGAACTTATGTTAATATGAAGGCGCCAACTGGTGAAAACTTATGTTAATATGAAGGCGCCAACTGGTGAAAACTTATGTTAATATGAAGGCGCCAACTGGTGAAAGTGTATATCAATAGGAGGGCACTAACTGGTAGTCAATACGAAAGCGCAAACTGGCGAAAGTTTATATCAATAATAGGAAGGCGCCAACTGGTGGAAACTTATGTTAATACGATGGCTAACACCCGTATTCACAAACATTACTATGAGGTTTCACAGTGTGCGTGGAGGCACAGGGTGACACATGGACCAATCACAGAGCTCTATTCAACGATGTGCTTTCGATTTTCTGCTTCACTTAAGCAAATATCGTCTGTGAATACGGGCGTAAGTTTTTAACTTATGCCAATACGAAAGCGCCAACTGGTGAAAACGTTTGTCGGCTGTGTTTACTCACCGGGTGGTCGTCGGCAGGCGGCGTAGGGCGGGCGGCGTCAGTACACACGATCTTGCGCATATCGTCAAAGCTCGGGTCCGACGGCGCAAGCTCCCAGTAGGGCGGGCGGTATTCGTGGGCGGGCGGTACTCGTAGGCGGGCTAGGCCGGCGATACTTCGGTGCTAGGGCGGGCTAGGGCAGCGGTGCTAGGGCGGCGGTACTAGGGTGGGCTAGGGCGGTGGTACTAGGGCGGGCTAGGGCGGCGGTACTAGGGCGGTGGAACTAGGGCGGGCTAGGGCGGTGGTACTAGGGCCGCCTAAGGCGGTGATAGGGCGGTTTAGGACGGCTGTACTTCGGTGCTAGGGCGGCGGTACTAGGGCGGGCTAGGGCGGCGGTACTTCGGTGCTAGGTCGGGCTAGGGCAGCGGTGCTAGGGCGGGCTAGTAGACTAGTATACTCACCGGGTGGTCGTCGGCAGGCGGCGTGGGGCGGGCAGCATCAGTACACACGATCTTGCGCATGTCGTCGAAGCTTGGATCCGACGGCGCCAGCTCCCAGTAGGGCGGGCGGTGCTAGGGCTGTGATACTAGGGCGGGCTAGGGCGGCTGTACTTCAGTGCTAGGGCGGCGGTACTAGGGCGGGCTAAGGCGGCGGTAATTCGATGCTAGGGCGGCGGTGCTTCGGTGCTAGGGCGGCGGTGCTTCGGTGCCTGGGTGGCGGTATTTCGGTGCTAGGGCGGCGGTGCTTCGACGAATCCGACGGCGCAAGCTCCCAGTAGGGCGGGCGGTGCTAGGGCGGGCTAGGGCGGCGGTACTTCGGTGCTAGGGCGGGCTAGGGCGGCGGTGCTTCGGTGTTAGGGCGGCGGTACTTCGGTGCTAGGGCGGCGGTACTAGGGCGACGGTTCCAGTGCAGGCGGCTGCGTATACTCACCGGGTGGTCATCAGCAGGCGGCGTAGGGCGGGCAGCATCAATACAGACGATCTTGCGCATGTCGTCGAAGCTGGGGTCCGACGGCGCCAGCTCCCAGTAGGGCGGGCGGTACTCGTGGGCGGGCCGCACGCGTCTGCACACTTCCCACAGGACGAGCGCGAACGCGTATATGTCGCATTTCAGGAACGACTCGAAGCATTCCAGGTTTATGCTGGAAAATAAGATGGGTGAATTAGGGCACTTGTGCACTATGCTACGAGACAACATTATTTCACGACGCAGCGTCATATTGTGGAAATCTACGACGCGACATTGCAACCTGCAACAACATACTCATAAAGTCCTTTAGATTAAAAAAACATAGGTGACAACCGGAAACTATAGGTCGACTAAAAGTATTTAGTGTACATGATGTCTTGTCTAATGGACTATTTTGGTGAATCTACTCCTTAGGCCATTATCTCGAATTTCGAGGGCAGCTCTTGAAAACAACGGCGCGGCAGCGGGTGACAAGCGGTGCACACACTCGCGCGTTAGGAATAAAGAATCAAGATAATGCGTAGCCATTGTTCTGATATTACACGTTCGCGAACATAAACAATCAGCTTGACGACACAAGATAACGCCGCGCATTTACCCGCTGGCTTCGAGATCGAGCCTGTGTTGCCCGCGCCTCCGCCACCACGAAATTCGAAAAGAGGTTTAAAAAACACATGTTATACCTTATCTTATTTTATTTAGGGCCGCGCATGAGCGCAGAGCACGTAGACCCATTGGGATCTTTTGTGCTTCCCGCTCATCCGCAAAAATCAAATTGTACCTTACCTCTGTTCAAGTAGCTCCGGACTCATATACCGCTTGGTGCCCTGGCGCGAGTGGTGGTGCGTGGTGATGTGATATGCTGCATTTCTCCTCCTCCTCTACATTTTAGTGGAATTTACCTGTTAGCTTCGTCGAACACCTCTCGTCTCATCTTCGATTAGATGGAAAGCTGGTGCAGGACAGCTGGTATACTAAGAAACTCACATCTGTTCCAGTAATTCCGGGCTCATATACCGCTTGGTGCCCTGCCGCGAGTGGCGGTGCGTGGTGATATGATATATGCTGCATTTCTCTTCTCCTCTCTCTTCATTTTGTTGGAAGTTACCTGTTAGCTTCGCCGAAACCTGGTGCAAGAAAGCTGGTATACCAAGAAACTCACCTCTGCTCCAGTAGTTCCGGGCTCATATACCGCTTGGTGCCCTGCCGCGAGTGGTGATGCTGCGTGCCGATGTGCTGTATTTCAATTCTCCTCTCACTTTATTTGGTGGAAACCTGGTACCAAGCAACTCACCTCTGCTCCAGCAGTTTAACTTCACTGCACATCTCTTGGTTCCTCTCCATGTTGATGGAAACCTGTGACCTGATTCACGTATTTTGACACACAGTCAAAACAGGACGACTTCTAAACAGACATTTAGAAGTAGTCCCATTGAAAAAAAAGTTCTAAATCCGTATTCACAAGGGTCATTTCGATAGAAAGATAAACTCGATAGGATTGCAACTCAGCGATTTGCTGGATGGTGCTGCGTGGACATTCTCTCATCTCCTCTCCACTGGTGGAAGCAGCTTGCTAGATTCCACATATGGAAATAGCCTGTGTGTTTCGTCGCACACCTCTCGTCTCCATCTCCTCCACATTGATGAAAACTTGGTCTCATGAAGCTGCATCTTTCTGCTTTCAAAACTGCTTGACAAAATTCGGCACAACACCCCGCTAATCCACGCTAAATTTTGTCAGTGAGTGCGTGCGCGCCGCGTACGTATTGGCGCGCTCACATAAAAACCGCGCTCGGTGCGTTTCTATGAAGATGACCTACTCATTTGTATCTAGTCTGTCTGTAGTCTCACCTCTGCTCCAGTAGTTCCGGGCTCATATACCGCTTAGTGCTCTGTCGCGGGTGGTGGTGCGTGGTGATATGATATGCAGCATTTCTCTTCTCCTCTCTCTACATTTTAGTGGAATTTACCTGTTAGCTTCGTCGAACACCTCTCGTCTCATCTTCGATTAGATGGAAAGCTGGTGCAGGACAGCTGGTATACTAAGAAACTTACCTCTGGTCAAGTAGCTCTGGACTCATATACCGCTTGGTGCCCTGCCGCGAGTGGTGATGCTGCGTGGACCGTGCTGCCGAGAGCGGCCCGTATCGTCGTCTCCTCTCCGCTTTGGTGGAAATATAGACCCGCTCTTCGCTTTGGTAGAAATGACCTGCTAGCTTTATCGCCTACTCTCGTCTCTCATCTCTCTTCCTCCAAGTTGATGGAAACCTGGTACCAAGAAGGTCAATCCTTGGGAAACTCAGCTCTGTTCCAGTAGTTCCGGGCTCATATACCGCTTGGTGCCCTGGCGCGAGTGGTGGTGTTGCTGCGTGGCGATGTGTTGGCGCGTGACGGCGAGCCCGAGGTCGGCGATGCAGCACTCGCCGTTGACTTTCACGAGGATGTTCTTGGACTTGATGTTTAGTGGAAACCTGGTCTCATGAAACTCACCTTTGCTCCAGTAGTTCCGGGCTCATGTACCGCTTAGTGTCCTGACGTGAGTGGTGGTGCTGCCGAGAGCGGCCCGTATCGTCGTCTCCTCTCCACTTTGGTGGAAATATAGACCCGCTCTTCACTTTGGTAGAAATAACCTGCTAGCTTTATCGCCTACTTCCTTTCTTCTCCTCTTTGGTGGAAACCTCGTACCAAGAAACTCAGCTCTGCTCCAGCAGAGATCTAGAGAGATGCCAACTAATGGCCCGAGTTTTAAACTCAGTTTTGCATAAGAAAATTAGATATTCACACACACAAAGTAATCAAAATGTGTGCTCATTATCCACTGCGATATCAGTACCCAACGTTCGAATAATATATAGTACTACGTCGCTGCTGTCATCATTGATGTCACGTCACGAGCAATGTGTTTTGTTTTTGGGCATATTGCTACGACACGGTCGGTGTCGTAGCAATATGCCCATGAAGATGACCTACTCATTTGTATTTACTCTGCTTGTAGTCTCACCTCTGTTCCAGTAGTTCCGGGCTCATATACCGCTTGGTGCCCTGCCGCGAGTGGTGGTGCTGTTGCGTGGCGATGTGTTGGCGCGTGACGGCGAGCCCGAGGTCGGCGATGCAGCACTCGCCGTTGACCTTCACGAGGATGTTCTTGGACTTTATGTTTAGTGGAAACCTGGTCTCATGAAGCTCACCTCTGCTCCAGTAGTTCCGGGCTCATATACGCTTGATGCTTGGTGCCCTGCCGCGAGTGGTGGTGCGTGGTGATATGATATATGCTGCATTTCTCTTCTCCTTTCTTTTCATTTTGGTGGAAGTTATGCTAGCTTCGCCGAAACCTGGTGCAGGAAAGCTGGTATACCAAGAAACTTACCTCTGTTCCAGTAGCTCCGGGCTCATATACCGCTTGGTGCCCTGCCGCGAGTGGTGATGCTGCGTGCCGATGTGCTGTATTTCTCTTCTCCTCTCTCTTCACTTTGTTGGAAACCTGGTACCAAGCAACTCACCTCTGCTCCAGCAGTTTAACTTCACTGCACATCTCTTGGTTCCTCTCCACGTTGATGGAAACCTGTGGCCTAATTCACGCATTTTGACACACAGTCAAAACAGAACGACTTCTAAACAGACATTTAGAAGTAGTCCCATTGAAAAAAAAGTTCTAATTCCGTATTCACAAGGGTCATTTCGATAGAACGATAAACTCGACGATTGCAACTCAGCGATTTGTTGTCCTTGAAGTTTTGTTACGTGAATAAGACTACTGGTCTCATGAATCTTTGCTCCAGACCTTGGGAAACTCACCTCTGTTCCAGTAGTTCCGGGCTCATATACCGCTTGGTGCCCTGGCGCGAGTGGTGGTGTTGCTGCGTGGCGATGTGTTGGCGCGTGACGGCGAGCCCGAGGTCGGCGATGCAGCACTCGCCGTTGACTTTCACGAGGATGTTCTTGGACTTGATGTTTAGTGGAAACCTGGTCTCATGAAGCTCACCTTTGCTCCAATAGTTCCGGGCTCATATACGCTTGATGCTTGGTGCCCTGCCGCGAGTGGTGGTGCGTGGTGATATTATATGCTGCATTTCTCTTCTCCTCTCTCTTCATTTTGGTGGAAGTTACCTGTTAGCTTCGTAACCTGAACCTGGTGAAACTGTAAGAAACCTGGTGCAGGAAAGCTGGTATACTAAGAAACTCACCTCTGCTCCAGTAGTTCCGGGCTCATATACCGCTTGGTGCCCTGGCGCGAGTGGTGGTGCGTGGTGATGTGATATGCTGCATTTCTCTTCTCCTCTCTCTTCATTTTGGTGGAAGTTATGCTAGCTTCGCCGAAACCTGGTGCAGGAAAGCTGGTATACTAAGAAACTCACCTTTGTTCAAGTAGCTCTGGACTCATGTACCGCTTAGTGTCCTAGCGCGAGTGGTAATGTTGCTGCGTGGACCGTGCTGCCGAGAGCGGCCCGTATCGTCGTCTCCTCTCCACTTTGGTGGAAATATAGACCCGCTCTTCGCTTTGGTAGAAATGACCTGCTAGCTTTATCGCCTACTCTCGTCTCTCATCTCTCTTCCTCCAAGTTGATGGAAACCTGGTACCAAGAAGGTCAATCCTTGGGAAACTCACCTCTGCTCCAGTAGTTCCGGGCTCATATACCGCTTGGTGCCCTGCCGCGAGTGGTGGTGTTGCTGCGTGGCGATGTGTTGGCGCGTGACGGCGAGCCCGAGGTCGGCGATGCAGCACTCGCCGTTGACTTTCACGAGGATGTTCTTGGACTTTATGTTTAGTGGAAACCTGGTCTTATGAAACTCACCTCTGCTCCAGTAGTTCCGGGCTCTGGGCTAAGATATGAAAGATAAGTCGTGTCCTTTCCTCTCGGCTTTGGTGGAAACCAGACCTTGGGAAACTCACCTCATGTACCTCTTGGTGCCCTGACGTCAGTGTTGCTGCTTCGTGGCGATGTGATGTGTACCATGTGCTGCATTTCTCTTCTCCTCTCTCTTCATTTTGGTGGAAGTTACCTACTAGCTTCGTAACTTGAACCTGGTGAAACTGTAAGAAACCTGGTGCAGGTCAGCTGGTATACCAAGAAACTCACCTTTGCTCAAGTAGTTCTGGGCTCATATACCGCTTGGTGCCCTGCCGCGAGTGGTGGTGTTGTTGCGTGGCGATGTGTTGGCGCGTGACCGCGAGCCCGAGGTCAGCGATGCAGCACTCGCCGTTGACTTTGACGAGGATGTTCTTGGACTTGATGTCTCGGTGGGCGATCGCTGGTTTACCCTGGATGGTGGAAATGGTAAATAACTTGTTTACTAATAATATTCTGATTATTTGCACTACATTTGAATTCAATTTTGAATTAAAAACGCCAATTATGAGTAAATCAATTTTACTCAAAACTCATTTTCAAGTTCAATAAAAGACTCTGATTATGATTGAAGACTAATATCAATATGGTGAGCTACCATATTTTCACGCACTAGTTTGTGCCACTGTCAAATTATATAAGACCAGCACGCAGCAGCGCCAACTGGTAAACACAAGCCCCCTTACTAATAAAAGTTATACGTGCGTTGAAATCTAATTTAGTGACGTTTAGTATGGAAATATCATTTTTAAACTACTGTTCAACGCTTGTACCATCGGCAACAGTGTTAACTATCCGTTGCCTGTTATGTCGTCTCGTTCTATCGCAAAGAATTACCATTTGATGAGAGCGAGAGCAAAAACGGAAATGGATAGTTAACTGTGTGGCCGTGTGTACAACATTTTTATTTATTAGTAAGGGTGAAATATGGTATCCCTAATTTCCCTAAGTTTAAAGTTTTTTTTTATTTGTAGACTATTAAAATTAAAATAGTACCCAAATATGAGTCCTACCTGTGTGCCGTGTATTTCCGTGTGCAAGTGTAACAGCCCGTTGATGGCCGACAGGCACATGACCATCATCTGGTGGCGCGTCAGCGTGCAGCGGGTTAAGTGCTCGTAGAGGGAGCCCAGCGGGTGGAAATGCGTTATCAGCCACAGCTGCAGAGAAAAAAAGTAATATTTATTACTCACAAGCTATGGATACTAATATCACTTACAACCCTTTAATCAGTATAGAGAAAAATATTTTTAATTGGTTTTAAACCTTATATCATCTCAATAAAGTTCAAAATATGGTGGCAACCATTCAGCCACTATCGGTAAAGGGGTTAAGAGCGTTGTAGCAAAAAGTTGGCGTTCGAATTTTAGGTTTTTATTGCTTGACGTCGCGTAGTGAGTGCGCAAACTGCATTTATCTGTACAATTTCAACGCTGCGTCGACTAAACGATCTTAATCCGTAGTTGTATCGTACCTAAGACAGTACCATCATACATAATAATAAAGAAATAATGTATAATTTACCTATTTGATTTTTTCTCAGATCTGACTTTTAGCAAAATCAAGTTACGTAATTAATGTATTTTTTACACTAGTAAATCCCGCGACAAGTTTTTAATCTTTAAATTGAGTAAAGTAATAAGTTGATGGGTTTGAAAGAATTTATGTTTTATTTTGTTCTTTTTACAGCATCAAAAGCTTGTTTATGAAAAATATTTACTATTTAAATTTTACTTTTGATTTTTTAGTTTTATGATGCGGGATGGAAAAATTAAAATTTATTCTGATTTTGTGACGTTTCCGCACATAAATATGGATAGGTTAAATAAATAGAATGAAATGTATGAAAACGAGCGAGCCATTTTTTAAACGTTATCTATAATATCTGTGTCCATCAAAGAGCTCGTAACTAAACATCGTAAGCGCCATTCAAATTATTATCTAAAAGTTAATAATAAATATTTAGTTTTTGTAAATCTAAACAAGTCAGGAAATCAAAGAGGTAAATACTGATATCATTGTGATTTTATAGAATTTATTATTATAAACCACGGTCGTATAATGCTAAAAAATCAGAGGTAACTTTAAGATTTTTATCCATAGAGCAAAATTTATCTAATCGTGTTTTTAAACAGTTATCCCATTAGGTACACATGCGTTCTGTAATACAAACCCATCAAAAACAATACTTGTCAAAAAACCAAGTCTCACTACTCAGTTGTTCTACGGTAAAAAGTTGTGAGATCCATGTAGGTAATACCAAGTCCAGTCCAGGAAATCATTAACGTTGTACATAAATATATTAAATAATAAATAATAAATATCCTTGGACATTTTACACTGCGCTTCTAGTCCCAAACTAAGCAAAGCTTGTACTATGGGTACTAGACAACGGATATAAACATACTTAAATACTTTTTTTTTTTTGTAAATACATACTTAATATACATAGAAAACACCCAGTCCAATACAAACAAATATGTTCATGCACACAAATGTTTGTACTGTGCGGGAATCGAACCCGCTACCTCCGGAATAGTAGTCCGTTTCGAACCACTACACCAAACGGCCGACTAAAAACTATTGACTTGGCCATCGCATGAAAACACGTGTAAATTAAATTATTTAGTGCGAAATGAAACGAAATTTTGCATGCCTGTGTAGACATGCAAAATTTCAGCTTAATGGGAAAACGGGAAGTAAGTAAATTTTAAGTTGCAAGATCTTACAACTCCAGATGTCAAAGAAAATAAAAGTTTGTAGATAGCTTTACAAAGAAAAGAAAGATTTATGAAGAAAATAAAAAGTACTGTCTACGATACATTTGTTAGGCCGTGTTGCACTGTCTTACTTTAACATTGACATCAAAATTTTGGATGTCAAAAATCTGTCTAACATAAAAGTTAGTAGTAGTTAAGTGTTAGGGTCAAAGTTAGGTGGTGCATCCCAGCCTTAGTGTATTTTAATTAAATTTAATACAAATAAGGATGACGAAAATAATCGATAAGTGATCTCACTCGAATATTTCTTACAGTAGGTATGCAAGATGTCGAACAAATGGTTACTTACTGAAAAAGTGCTTCATGAGACCTTGCAAACGGCATCAATATGTTTAAGAACGAACTGAATCTATTCAAAAAACCTATATTTCCAGCTTTCATACATTTAATACAGTTATAAACAAACACGAAATCAATGGTTTCTGAGAATTCTGAGTGCCTTAATGCCGTCCCCTTTATCTGTTTATTTAGTAATTATTAATTAGTATCTCTTGATGATATTATAGCAAGTTAAACCTAAAATCATGTTTTCCGTAAATTATTTAAATAAGAATGCAATTTACGAGTTTGTTGTTTGATTATTATATATTACTCAATTAAAAATTTAAATTTAAAAAATTAACACTTCTAATATGGTAGGTATGGCTGGCGGCATACATTTAGTATGAAATTCGGAAACATTGAATTTTCGCATAGATCCAGTTTATTCTTTGACCTAATTATTGTTATTGTTTTGAAGAGCTCATGAAGCACTTACAGGAACATTAAACAGTTTCTCGATATCTTGTATAATTAAAAATCAAGTGAAATCACCTATCGTTTCCACCCTGTACCTATACTTTTAAAAATAAACTCATTTTATACGTTCATTTGTATACAGGGTGGAAACGTTAAGTGATCTCACTCGATTATTTCTAAACTATACAAGATATCGAAAAACTGATTACTGATTCTGAAAGTGCTTCAAAAGCTCTTTCAAACGGTACCAATAATAGGTTACAGAATAAACTGGATCTATCCGAAAATTCAATGTTTCCAGCTTCCATACATTTAGTAAAACCACATAATATTAAAAAGTATACAAGATATTTAAAAACTGGTTACTGATCCTGAAAGTGCTTCACGAGCTCTATCTAACAGTACCAATAATAGGTTACAAAATAAACTGGATTCATTCGAAAATTCAATGTTTCCAGCTTCCATACATTTAGTACAGCCACAGTCATTGGCACTCATGTCTTGTTAATATTATAGCAAGTAAAGCCTAAAACCAATGTTTTCCAAGAATAATTTTAACAAGAATGCAATTTATGAGTTCA